TTTTTATTATAATTAAATTATTATCAACTATTTTCAATCATATTATAATTAAAAATAGTTGATAATAATTTTTATATTTTTACATTCCCATTAAAATATTCATTTTTTAAACATTTAAAAATATTAAACGAAGCAGTATCAGGCTATGAGATTTACACTTTTTACATACATATTATACATATACATATTATGTGCGTAATATCAGTTGTAAAATTAAAATTAGTTGTAAAATCAAATATCAATAAAATAATACATTTTATATGATATAAATAATTTTATTTTTTCTATTCACATATGTGAAAAATATCTTTCTAATTTATTCAGAAGAGTTCTACTATCATAATGATTAGGATATGTATTTAAAGACTTCTTTATAGCAATATAACTTGTTTGAAGATCTCCAATCTACAAAATTTTTAAAACAAAAGTATAATACTATATTAATATGATTATTATACATACATAATATTATTATAATATATAATAAAATATATAATTATAATACCTCATAAGCTAAATAAGCACTATTAAAATGAGGCTCATGAATAAAATTAGCAATATTGGCAGCGGCATGAAAATACGTTCTTGCTGCTGTTACATTTCCATTTCGAATTTGTATAACTCCAAGATTATTATATGCTAAAGCATGCCTATTGTCATTAACGATAGCTAATTTTAGACATTCTTCCGCCATCATTATATCACCTACTGTCTAAAGTATTTGATAATTAATAATAAAATTTATATAATAGAAAATTTTTAATCAAACTTTTACTAAAGAAATAATTTTAAATGTTATTCATATAATTAAATGTTAAAAAAAAATAATATACATACAATAGCAATGTGAGAAATATTGTACCATATATCTGCTATATTTTCATCAGTTGAAAGAGTAATTGCTCTTTCAAAACAAGATATAACATGATCGTATTGCTGAGCATAAAAACAACATAGCCCAAGATTATTAAATAATTCAGTATTGTAAACTCCCATTTGTAATAAACGTCTACTCAGATAAATGAAAAATTAATTTTAATTCTATACTTATTTATTATATCTATATTTGTATTTACCTATAATATCGCAAAGCTAATTCAGGTTGATCATTATAAAAATGGTATATCCCAATACTAGCTATTGCTTCTGTATGAGAAGCATCTTCTTGAGCAATTATTTTATAATATTTTAATGACATGCTCATATTATTTAATCCATCAAATATACGTCCCATTTCCGTAAGAATATTTACATCATTATTAAAATATTCAAGACCCTTTTTACATGTATCTAAAGCTGCCAATGGTTGATCAAGTTTAATATAAACTCTGATTAATCTTAAGATCACTTCAATAGTTTTAAAATCTCTCAGTGCTGATTTAAATTGTTGTTCTGCATCTCTAACCATTCCTAAACTATAATAACATTTACCAAGTTGTACCTTCCACCACCAATCTTTGTATTGACAAGCTTTTGTTGCTTGTACTGCTAAATCTAATGCCTACATGTGTTATAATTAATTAAAATAAAAATATAATAATAGTTAATAAAAATTATGGAATAAATATTAATATTACAAATATTGAATAATACTTTACTTACATATCTTATATCATGTTCATGATAATATATATATTCAAATAATGATTTAGCAATACTTGGTTGATTAGCATATTTAGAAATATTTAAACGTGATAGTTGTATAAATGGTCCTCCTGGTTCTGTTAACATGGATGCTGTACCTAATCTATCATAATGTATTTAAATTAATTTTAAAGAAATAAGTATAATAATAAATAAATTGAAAATTTATTAATTGAAATCATATTATTTAATAATGCAAATAATTATACCTAACATTGCGGCTAGAACTTGCAGTAATTGGTCTAGCTGTCATAGCAACTCTGGGTGTTCTTAAAGTTTGCTCAATTGATTGAGATATAGCAGATTGAGTAGCTGGTCGTATAATACCAGTAAGTGGTCTACCTTTGAAGAGATATTATATTTTTATGTTAAAATTCTATATTTAAATTTCTTTTTCTTTCTTTCTTTTAACTATATAATACTATAATTATTTAATATTATTTTGAATTTTTAAAAATTAACCTGATTGAGTTTTGGGCCGAAGATATTGTCCTGTGAAAGAAGTACCAGGATTTTTTAAAGATGTTCCTGGTCTAGGCATAGAAGATATTGTATAATTATCTAGTAGACTTTCAGCAATTCCTTCTTCTTCTCCTTCTATATCATCTACATATACTTGTAATGTTAAGGCACGCATTTTTAAAATCCATGCAGTCTGTAATAAAAATCTATAATATAAATATAAATATAAATTATTGTATAAAATTGACATTAAATATACTTATACCTGATCAAGAGGATTTTTTCTTAATAAATCTGTACATATTGTTGTACATTCTTCATATTTTCCTCTATTGAATAGACTTAAAGCTTTAAATAATTCCATAATTTAATAAAAAGATTAATAAAAAAATCTGATTATAAAAATACTAATTGCATTTTGAAAAAAAAATGTATATTTTAAAAAAATATATTTTATACGAACAAAATATATTTAAATATTCAATAGAATGCACACGAATTTTCCATGCAGGAAAATATTGATTATCTTATAACTCTGTTTATAGATTAGGGAAACAATGCACACTATTTTTTATATTTTATCTAAACATATTTAGAATTAATATTATATAGGAAAGAATTTGTAATATTTTGCCGTTTAATTATTTTATATTTTTTTATGCATTAATAAAATATTTATTTCTTCATTTCTGTAAAGTAATTTCTATTCATTTTGTATTTTATGTTACTTTTTGTATATTTAAATAATATCATTTATTGATTCATGACAAACGTTATTTTTTCAAATAAAGACATCATTTTTATATATGTAAATGAATATTATTTAAAAAAATAACAAAATACTATCTTATACGTTCGTTTTATATATGTCAAAATTTGATTAAAATGTTTGACAAATCTATTTATCATATTATTTTTATTTATATTATGTACAACTAATGATAGATTATAATCTATAAATTCATATAATTACAAAAATGGAATATTTTGATAATAATAATAATAATGCTTATAATAATCTCTATGATAATGACTTTGATTCCGATGATAGGTTAGTAAAAGTAATAATGTTTGAAATATTTTATAAAATTAATTCATTATTGCATAATCCAATTTATCTTATTTAGCATTCAAAAAGCTTTTATAGATTTTTTTGAAACGAAAAGTATACAAGAACAATGCACAGAAGAATCTTTAATTCAACTGCACGAAGCGTTTTTGGTATTTACAAATTTGAAAAATTTAATATTTTTAAAAACTTTCAAAAATAAACTAATAAAATTATAATTAATACAATATAAAAAAATTAAATTGTTAAAATTTGTATTTTTATTACTTATATAATTAATATAATAATTTTCATTTTTCATTATGAATGTATAGGCTTCACCAAAATGAAGAAATGAATATTGATCAATTATATGACGCGTTTGAAAATATATTGCATATTAAAATGCCAGAAGATGAATTTAAAATCTTATTTAGAAAAGTAATAATGTAGATTTATTATTTTATCTTTATGTTTTTTATTATAATATATATAATTAATTTTTCTTTTTCATAGATAAACTTAAAAGGAGATGGAAATATTACATGGAATGAATTATTCTTATTTATTAGTGGAATTCCAGAAAAAAGATATTTCATTACAACTGCGAATATTGAAACTTCCTATAACTGGTATTCCTCAAATCTTGAAATCACATCATCGTACAGCTATACACAAAATTAT